GCTTGGAATCGCTTTAGTTAGTGTACTGCTTAGTGAAGCATTCTTCTAGTATTCTGTTTGCTTTATTATACCGCTTTTTACTTTATTCTATTTTATTGTCTATTTGGATCACTCATCAGAAGATTATCTTCACTCGATGTGGGTATGTTCTGAAACTATTACTAATTCTTAAATAAGAACTTATTCAGATTAGGTTTCTTATGGTTATTTAAGGAATGGTAGTGGAATTTCCTCACAATCATGTGAGAAGGCTTCACAATGCAATTAAGTTTCACTTAACCTTCTAAAAGGTTTTATCTTCCAGGGGAGGTTGTAGTTTTGACCTAGTATGGGTCTAATCAGCACATTCAATGGAGTTAGATACCAGATCGTGAACAATGTATCGACATGTATTGCCACTTCGCTACACTGTCATGAGTGCTAGTGGGTCGCAGGGCGGATGTGACTTTCGAGGAAACCCAGGCCTCTCTAAAATCACATTTGGGATTGCGAAGCAAACAAGCAAAATATGTATATGCATTCGACAACTTTACCTATACTCGATGAATGTTTTGAAACTGACAGTAAATGTAGAATAGGAGAGTTATTTGAAACACCATCATGATTATGTTGCCTTGATTGCTCTTGCTGCATAATCGCGAGAGGAATCGTGGTCGATCGTGCCTCAAGCCATTTAATACTTGCATTTTATTCCTATTTCCTTTGTTCCCTTTTTTCTTGGTCATTTCACTTCCTCTTGATTATTTTAAACTAGTTTTGTTACCTTAAATTAACTCTCCCTCTTTGATTTCAGGAGAAAGTGGCTCGCGTAGAAGCAGGCAACAAGCCTGGCTTTCCTTCGTTCAGGCCAACCTTGGATACTGAGGAGGGTGGTGTACCAGAAGATATGGTGCGGCTGGTACGTTCCGCCTGGGACGAGGACCCGATTAATCGGCCCGATTTTTCGGTGATTAAACTCTCGATGCGTAAGCTAAACAAGTACGTTCTCGAGCTATAGCCCGTCCTTGCTTAATTGTTCTAAAATGAGGTAATAACCAGCTATGGAACACCTTCGGCTTCATTCACTGAGAAGCGACTTTTTAATCCGTGAAATCTGATTATTTATCTCATATACAGACAAAATAATTTGGCCGTGCTCCTGCCATTTTTAATCCGCACTTATGCCTTATAATATGTATTACGACACACATCTGTACATAGTATAAATGAGTAAACACTTAACAAACACACGCCAATAAATCTGTCATTTTCTATAGAAAAGTGGGAAATGAGTAAATTATCTCTACTAAAAGCCTAAAAATATTGTCATTAGTTGGGACTATTAAATTGTGCTTAAAAGTCCTTGGCACACTATACTGACAAAATGAAGAATTCTTGCTGAGTTTTCATCTCTCATGTGATAGAAACCGTTAACGATTTTTATCGTCCCTTAACAAAATTGCTGAACCAATGGTTTATCTTAATCCTCCCATCTTCTTATAACCTTTATGAATAAAATTACGGTTCCTATGAATACCTTAACACTTAAATGCCGATAGAATTTTCTTATTGAAAGAAAAATATGGTAGAAAAAATGCGTAAATTTGCATCACAGTAAACCGAATAGGATGAGGTTGGTTTCCGGTGAAGCCAAATTACGAATACCTTTTATCTGAATTTTTACTTTTAACTAAATAATCTATCAACGAAAATTCATATAATCTTATTTTCCTGTCTTATTGAAACATCCCATTGTTTAGCTGGATGCTTCCTTACTACTTTATATTCTTGCAGATGAGAGAAGTTTATGTAGACATGTATAGACTGCTATTTCCTAATCAAAATTACCTGAAGTTTGATGCTGCAATGATAACGTGTTTTGATTTATCGTCGCACGGGTATTGTTTGTTTGAAAAGGTCATGAATAAATTGAGACGCTAGTGCCCTATTCAGACTTCGGCTGCTCTCTTCTTCCTATCTTGCTCGGTGATTCGTCCTGCCCTTTCTCTAATTCTACCCATAAGCTAGGTCTAGTTGTTGCTCACTTCCCTAAACTTGTTTCTTATTTTCAGTGTGGTCATTACAAAAATTTATTTCGACTTCCTAACATTCCGTTCAGCTGTGAATTCTCCATGTCCAGCAACTTTTGACCTTTAAACCATTTTTATGTTTTATGCTAGCCATGTACTTGCACATTTCAAATTTCCGAATATACCAAACTTTGCATATGGGCTTTTGCTCAGTTAATATCTTCATTGTGATTCAGCAGGTCTGATAACTAGGAGCTATCACACAGGCAAAACATTGCAACAATCACATCTCTATATAGGGTTCATAAATTCTCGAAAATAAAAAATAACATGCATTACTCATATGGCCTACTTCCTCCGTAGTTCGCTTAGCTTATTCGTAAGCTGACACGAGGCAATTGGCAGCAACGAATTATAGTTATCTAGCAACCTGTATTATCCTAGCTAGCCGATTCACCTTTTCATATTTCTTAATATTTTAAACTAGTCGACAGTACAGTTTAGTGGATTTAAATTGAAGCATACCCATAAAGGGGCAATATTACCATTTCGCCTCATTTCTATGGTTCCCAGTGGATCACTTTCTCAACGGTTCCGGCCTCTCCCAACTCAAATTAATCTCCCAACTGATGTTGATAATGAAAATGTGTGCTTGCCATTACAACCGACTACAGTCTATTATACAC